GCATGCTGCCGACTAAAACTAAAAGTACTGATAAGATTTATTTTCTGTATAAATGTTTCATATGGGTCTCTATGTAGGCAGATTCATGGAAGAAGCGGCATAACAGGAATATTAGTTTGAACTCGGTTTTCGTTCTTAATCTCCAAGGTTGTGAGGATTGTGGCTTTAAGTAAACTTTATTTTTATATTAGAAGGATTAGTCTTTATTCATTTCTATAATGAAAATGATCATAATCCTAACATTACTAATACCTCCTGAATTAAAATGTCTTAAGCATATTTCTGTCTTTGTTCCTCCGACTTTTATTAATTTTCTTATTATTTGTTTCAGTTTTTATTGTTTTTTTATTGTTTTTTTTTAACCTGAACTAAACAAATTGAAATAAATAAAGTTGGTATTTGCTTATAACGATAACCTTCCAAACACTCATCGCAGTTTCCATAGCGATGAACAGGCGTTGGACCATGTGACCAGCAGCATTTGGAGCTCAGGTCATGGTTTTCCCTTTTGAGACTTTGAGTTTTTAGTTCTCAGTTTTCAGTAATTCTGTTTTGTTGAACTTTGGTTTAATTTTCCGTTTTGGTGTTATATTCCAGCAGTCTTTAGTTACTCTCTGCTGCCCCCTTGTGCCTGTCTCCTGTCCCCTAGCTCCCTTCTAGCTCCTTCCCTCCACACCTGCTCCCTATCAGCTGATTGGTCCAGTCTTTGTTCTGTCTCCCATATATACTCTCCCTGTCGTTCTTCTTTGGTCGCCCATTGGACTTTTTCTAACGTTCTCTGGTTCTGATTCTTAGCATTTTTGTTTTTGGACGTTTGCCTTAGTTCTCTTCTTTAAACCTACAAGAAGTCATCTTTGCATTTGGGTCACCCCCACACTGACATTTTCTTTCTACCCCGTTTAACTTTCTCTGGTTGCTGTCTGAATTTGGACTTTATCTCCATCAACATCTGGAAATTATTCTGTGATGCTGCGGCTTTAATACTGAATCAAAGGTTTATCATGTGGGAAAAGGCCTGATGCAGGAATATTACTGAGACCGAAACCATAGTCAGCAGCAAGGAGAACATCTGAGCCATTTATTAGCAGCCCAGCAATAGGTTGGTCATAAATAAAGGGGGTGACTGGAGCCTGAATGGGCGAGAGGCGGGGTCACCCTGGACAGGATCAATTCAGGATGAGGACGTCTCTTAGTGCTGAAACAGGAAATGTTCTCCATCTTATTACACTGTGTAAACATCTGTAGACCTTCACTGGCTGCTGTGAGGTTAAACCGGGTCAGACTGAGGACGGGTCACCGACTGATGGTCCGTCACCGCTGGCTGCTGTGAGGTTAAACCGGGTCAGACTGGGGACGGGTCACCGACTGATGGTCCGTCACCGCTGGCTGCTGTGAGGTTAAACCGGGTCAGACTGGGGACGGGTCACCGACTGATGGTCCGTCACCGCTGGCTGCTGTGAGGTTAAACCGGGTCAGACTGGGGACGGGTCACCTGCTTGGGTGAATCTGACCTCAGCTGATGGGAAGGATCCTCCGTTTCCTGGAGCCGCTGAGGAGTTATCGTTGCCATAGAAACTGATGATGGAAGCGGCTCCATGTCAATAGAGGACGTCTAAAATGCATCCTGTCACTGATGGATGGTGTCGCTGGTTCTGATCTGTTCATTCTGTTTCTAGGAGGTTTGAAATGTTCTGTTGTTCCGGTGAGCTGCTGAAATCTGGTGATTCTGGGTTTCTGTCAGAACTTTAAGGTCAAATTGGTTTGCAGAGAAACGCTGTTTGAAGTCTGGTCGCCTCCTGTGATGGTTACTGCTGGAAGCCAGCAGAGAAGCATGGAGGAGGCGGTATGATGACCGGGACTCCTCTCTACTGATCCTCTCTGCCCACTCTTTACACTCAGTCTGTCATCTGATGTTTCACTCCATACCCCCTTTGACTTGTTGTCATGGTTGCGGATTGTAGGGGCGTGGCCTTTGGGGTGTGGAAAGTCAGATCGCCTCATAGAGAGCAGGATGTTTGATTCAGACTGTCTGCCTCTCCTGATCTGGAGGCTCATCGTCGCTGGATGCAGCAGAACCTTTAAAGCGGTTCGGTGCAGCAGAAGAGCTGCTAATCTTCCAAGATGGCCGGAAACTGCCTGAAGGCTTCAGCTCCTCTGCCATCTGTTGGTGCATGTTTTCCATGTCACTGGGTTTGTGACTGGGAGAACTGGGAACAGTTTGAGCCCACAGAGGGTGGAGCACGATGGAAGGCAGTCACTGCCAGCTTATTGTGTCTGTTCGCCTGTCTGTCCGCCTGCCTGTCTGGTGTCAGTAGGTCCGGTGGACAGGCGCTTCAGCATAGCGTCTCTGCCCCCCCCCCAGGCTGTGCTTTCCAGTCTGATCCCACTGGAAGGTTCAGCCAGAGGTGCTGTAGCCTGATGTTTCTGTAGCAGAGTGCCTGTGGCTGCCTCCGTCTATCCGCCTCTGTCTGTCAACATGCAGCGCAGTCGACTCAAAGCTTAATCACCCAGAAAATAGAAAAAGGTTTCCTTAACCTGCTGCAGCAGAGACAGGTAGGCAATGACCGCCCTCACTCTGCCAGCAGGTCTGCACTCAGCGGGAACTGCCATGCGTCCACAGCTGGATGTCCCGTCTGGCAGCAGGCAGCCATCACTTCTAGATAGGCAGGCCGTCTTTATTGTTTCTCTGCCTCGTCGCCGTGGAGACGCCCAACTGTTACCGCTGCACCCACCGAATACCAGCTTCCCTATTTCACAGAACAACCTCCTGGCACCTAGCAAAGCATGGCAGGTAGAGAGAGAGAAGCTAGATTGGTTACTTTATCTGCTGGCTGTGGGACCAGATAACGGCTGAATTCTGGAAGTTCCACCTTAAAGAGCCTTAACGGTACCCACCCCATGATGCAGCTGTCTGAGGTCTGACATCATCCACTTCAATTATTTTAGTTCTATTTGGACTCAAACGTTTCTTCTAAAGTTGACTTGGAGAAATAAGGTGAGATTTAAAGGAGGGACGCTGCAGAATATTCACACTTTATCACCATCATGGTGAGCCACACCGTAGCCACAGCTGCCCTGGAGCTCAGACAGAAGCGAAGCTGTCGTAACCACCGGGCCCTCTGGCCTCCATCTGTTCTCCTCACAAACAGTTTAAAGTGGAACGCCGTTTTTTTACATCGGTCCCTTGATTTCCCGTTATTCCATCATGTTCTACTCTCCCATATGAGTTTAGTGTCATTTGGAGCCGTTCTGAAGATATTCCGTTAGGTTATATCCAGTAACGTCTTCCTATGGGCAACGACTTGAAGGCACAAACTAAACTGTTCATCATTTATTCTTTATGGTACGCCAGCATTCAGAACATGGAGGCCAATATAAAAAATCTAACGGCAGATGTCTGGGGGACAGTGATTGGAATATCTTCAGAACGGCTCCAAATGACACTAAACTCATATGGGAGAGTAGAACATGATGGAATAACGGGAAATCAAGGGACCGATGTAAAAAAACGGAGTTCCACTTTAAA